GAAATGTGAAGTCTTACCCCACCCGCCGTATTCCCCAGATGTCGCCCCTTCTGACTTCCACCTATTCCGTTCGATGGCACACAGCTTGGCAGATCAACATTTTCAATTCTTCGAAGAATTGGAAAAATGGATCGCTTCATGGATAGCGTCAAAAGATGACTCCTTTTTTCGAAAATTGCCGGAAAGATGGGAGAAAGTTGTCGCTAGCACTTTTTTGCAATAAAGCTTTTAATGTTAGAAAAAACGGCGGTAGCAAAGTTGTACACCTGATATGTATATATATATTATAACAGGTAACAAAATCTGAGTTTGAGGTTTAATTTCAGACTTTCTTTAACACCTCTTTTTGGGGCTGTGCTCCTTCGTGCTCCTTCGTAGTGAGCCTTCACGAAAAGTTGCCGTTCAACACAATTCGAAAATCGGTTAAGTTTCTCGGCTGTCAAGTGGTCTCTCCAGAATTGGGTTGATCCATACAGGAATTTTGTATTTTTTTTGTCATTCAATAAAGATTCCAGTGGTGCTGAGGCCGCATGAAAGGCTACTAGAACACCTTTATCGAATGAATTTGTTAACTCTTTAACGTTCAACACCTTTATATATGACTAACGATTTCTGGATTTTGCAGGCCATACAATATTACGATATAGGATGATGACACCCTCTTTACCTTTTTGTCATTATTTAACTGTTTTTTATTTTAGTTTATTTTAATTTTATTTATTTAATTTAATTTAATTATATTTTATTTATTATGAAAAATATTCAAATTTTATTTTATTATGTTTAATTTGATTTAATTGTTAGTTAATTTTATTTCATTCTCTTTTATTTTATTTTAATTTATTTAATTTTATTTTATTCATTTGTTTTTTGATTTTATTTAATATAAATAATTTGACTTTATTTTTTTTTTATTTCATTTCGTTAGTTATTTATTTTAATTTTTTTTATTTTGTTTAATTTTTTTTATTTTTTTGTTCATTTCGATAGATATTTTTCTTTATATTATTTATTTTAATATTTTTATTCCATTTGATTATATTTTATTTTATTTATTTATTAATTTTAGTTTATTTAAATTTATTTGATTTTATTTTATCCCATGTTATTTTATTTTTTTTAATTTTATTTATTTTCATTGCATTTTATTTCATTTTTAATTTTTTTATTTTATTTCATTAGTAATATTATATATTATTATTTATTTTAATTTTTTTATTTTATTTTATTGTTTTAACTTTTTTTCTTTTTTAGTTTTATTTTATTTTATTTTATTTTATTTTATTTTATTTTATTTTTTTTTATTTTATTTTATTTTATTGTATTTTATTTTAATTTATTTTATGTTATTTTATTTTATTTTATATTATATTATTTTTTATTTTTTCCATTTTATTTTATTTCATATTATTTAATATCATTTTTTATTCTTTTATTTCGTTTCATTAGTAATATTATTTATTATAATTTTTTATTTTATTATATTGTTTTATTGTTTTAACTTTTTTCTTTTTTTAATTCAATTTTATTCTATTTTATTTCTTTTTATTTGAATGTATTAATGCTTTATCTTCTTTTATTTATTTTTTTTTAACTTTACTTTTATTAAGTTTGTCTTCTGTTTCTTTTCATTATTTAATTTATGACTCAGTTAGAACTCTGAAACGTCACCACAAAAAGATCCTTCACTTCAACCGGAAACCGGAAGTAATGGCATGCCAAACGAAATTTTCCCCTTATCCGAATTAAACTCCAGTTAGGCAAGGGCAGAAGAAACTCTGTTATATCTAACGTTAAAGACTATTAGGGACATCATTAAGGCAAATAAGAAAAAAAGCGAAATTAAATCCAATCAACTTTCTAGTGAAAAGCCAAGCAGCTGAATCAAGAAAGGAAAATAAATCCAACGAAACTCTACCTTGATAAAATAAAGGGGAGAAATACACTAATAGAGAATATTTAAACTCATTAAAGACGTCATGAAGAACACAGTGTGGACAGAGTTGCAACAAGACAAAGCAGGAGAACTGTTTTGAAACAAAGATGCGCGATGCAGGAAACAAAAGCAAAACATAACAGCAATAATAAGACACACATAAAATTACCGAACAAAGCGATGGTTGGAGACACGCTGAAAAGTGAAGGGAAGCGTTAAAGAAACAGAAAGAGAAACAGGAATCAAAAGCAGTTAAATGCAATATTAACTGAAGTAAAAGAGCTCCGTGCCAACGTTTTATATAATGACTTTTATTAGTTCAGGAAGTGAGTTGAGGTAATTGTTGCATGCAACGGAAGATCTGTAGCAATACGCGATGAGAGGTTGAATTAGAAGAGCGAAAACAAAAATATGAACGAAAATGGAGGGGACAATAATGTTCTAAAATTAAATTTTCTTATTTAACTTCCGTTGTGCAAATTATCTTTTGACTCGATTCTCTTCTGTTTGGGCAATTTCTTTTTTTTTTTTTGCTGAATAGAAATTTGGCATAGGCGAGTTGACAGAAAGAAGGTTTAAGCATTCGATGGAATAATGAAATTAGCCTTAATTTTTGCTAGTGAAGGCTCAGTTATAAACTGATTTCATTACTTTCGAGCAGGATAACGAACATAGCGGGAGAAAACGTTTGAAACAGCAAATTTTTTCGACTGAAATCTCTATCAGAGATTTACTCTGTAAAGAAGTTGGCAGTCGAAGACCAAAGCTTCTTCCGGCGAATCTATCGAGGACGAAAAGCTGTCTTGCAAGCAAAGGACGAAGAGACTTGAGACTGTAGATAAGTTTTTATTTTAATTTATTCACAGAATATGTGAAGTACCTATCAAGGCATGTTCAAGCGGATTCTGCCAGATAAAGAATGCATGAGTATGTTACTAATCTGGCCACAGATATAGATAGCACTTGGCTCTTCGCAATCCTGGTCAAAATTGAATTGATGGACACTACAATGGTACACTAAGCATGACTAAGACGTCTTTTTTAGAGTACAACCGCTAGGATTTCTGTTTTTTCTCTGAACTTTAAAATAAAAATTAAATTTTCTCTCCCACTTATAAGTGCTAAGTGCACCAGCAGAGACGGAAGAGAGAGAGAGAGAGAGAGACTTCAAAAGTTTACCTATTTGCCTATCTCATGCATTAGTTGTGCACTTCGCGGTCAAAATAATCTAATTCATCACTTTAGTAAAAGTCGTGCGTGCTGGTATAGCCATTTTAAAACGTGTTCGCATGTGTCGGGAGATATGAACGTAAGGATTTACTCACATTTATGCATAATGCTTTCAAAAAGATAACCTGGGAGCTCTACACTCAACCTGCATACTCATTTCTTTCTAATGGTACAATCATAGCCGATTGTGGTATCTGAGTTTTGAGTTATTTACCACTTACTCTGTAAACGCATTTTTGCTATTCATAGTCTACTTTCAGGCGAAAGGTGGTGCAACTGCTGATATTTATGCGAAACATGCACATTTAATGAAACGTTTTGAGAATTTTTAATATACTCAGTAGCAAAAGAAATTTAAAAATAAAGCGGGAAAAGTAAAAGTCTATTTCTATACATACTTTCAGATTTATGCATATGTATGTATGCATAAGTTATGTTATTACCGAGGAAATTTCATTTGCATGTAAAGGTTTGGGAGAAATATGATAACTCTAACCACAAGGAAGTAAAAAGTTAAAACAGGTCTGTCGGATGAGGCAGGGAAAAAATAAATTAATATAAAATAAAGTAAAATAAAAGAACACAGCACAAAACTAAATATAATAACATAAAATGAAATCAAATAAAATAAAATTCACTAAAATAAAAAAATAAATAAACTAATATTAAATAAGACAAAATAATATAAAAAACAAAAGTTAAATTAAATAAGGTAAAATAAAATAAAGTGAAATGAAACAAAATGAAATAAAATAAATAAAAGATAACCACACAAAATAGTATATAATATAATAATATAAATTAAAAAGAAATTAAATTAAATTCAATAAGGTAAAATAAAAAAACATATAAAATCATATAAAAAATAACCCAAATAAAAGAAAATGAGATGAAACAAAATGAAATGAAAAAAAGAAAAATTAAATAAAAAAAGGAAAGCAAACTACTAAAACAAAATAAAATATAATTAATTCAAATGAATTAAAGTAAAGCAAAACAATCTAAAAAAAATATAAATATTATATTAGAAATAAAATAAAATGAAACAAGACAAAAAATTCCAAAAACTTCGATTGAATTACAACAAAATGGTATAAAATAAAATTAAATAAAATATTTTAAAACTAAAAATTAAAATAACATATAAAATCACATAAAACAAAAAAAAAATCAAATGATGTAAACAAAATGAAATTAAACAAAAAAATAAAAAATTAAAATAAAATACAAAATTCAAATCAAATAAAGTGAGATAAAATAAAATGATATAAAGAAAAACAAAAATAAAATAATTTAAAATTAAATTAAATAAAACAAAATAAAATAAAAGACAGCAGCATAAAATGAAATAATGAAATAAAAAAATTAAATTAAATTAAATTATATAAAATGAAATAAAATAAAAGAGAATAAAATAAAATAAAGTAAAATAAAATAAATTAAAATAAAAATTACATACAAGACTAACGAAATATAGTTATTTAAAATAAAATACAAAAAGAAAATTAAATTAAATTAAAGTAAATTAATTTAAATAAAAAAAATAATATATAAAAAAAGTAAATTCTTAGAATATACGTAATAAAATAAACTCCACCAAAACAAAATGAGATAATAAAAAGTAAAATAAATACTACGAGCTAAAATAAATTAAAATAATATAAAATAAAATGTAATTTGAAAAGAAGTGAATAATATTAGGTATTGGATAAAAAATATGCGTTCTGAAATTTAACCGTAGGCATAATTATTTACATACATATATAACCAGAAATCTCGAAACCATCGTTTTGGAAAATCATATGCAAAAATTATTACTTCTAACTCCCTTGGGGTTTTTATTTTTTTCTTTTGCTTCAGTACATTTTTGCCGCCCTCAACGGGACGTTTACTAGTGCGCTTACAATCAAGTAGTCTTCCGGCTTATTTCATATTTCTAGCTCCTCAGAACACTCACTTGAAATTCAGTTATGTGGTAATAAATTTCATTAACTTGGCAGCCATGCGCCCACACATATTTTTGCATTATTACACAGTACAAATGAGCTACTGCGCGAACTCATGGAGTATCCTCCTACCTGTGGGTAAAAAGTACACACCCAACTTTACAGCTGCAAAATTTCCATACAATTCTTTTAATGCATATTCACCGTTATTATTGTTTATTAGCTTCAATTCTGTTGCTAACTTCTGTTTAGAATTGTTTCTGACTTACTCGCCTTGTCTTCTCGCACGTGCTTGGGGAAGTTTCAATGGGTGTCCTCATGCCTTTCATTTTCTGAAAATACTGTACTTATATAATACACCCGTACAATTTATGCGGTAATGCTGCGCCGTTGTTGTTGTTGTACCATTTAATTGAATTTTTCAACATTGTAATTTGCGTAAAAAGTTGACAACTGTTTTTTTTTTTTTTGGAAGCAAATTTTTTCAGTGTCCTCGTACTGAATTGTCATTAGGTACATAAAAAGCAAAGAATCCGTAATAAAAATGCCTGAAGTAACAATTCGCACGAATTTTTATAGCAAAGCGTAAAATTAAACATTTCAATTGAAATGCTACAAATATTGAAAAAATACAGAAACGAATTTTATTTTGCTATTTCGAAAATAAACGTATTTAAACTATATTTAAAATAAGTTTTTAATTAAATAAATTTTTGAACAAAAAATGTTCATCCTGCCAATATATGTAAAACATTCTATTCATTCATTCTATTCACTATCAGTTTTGGCACATAATGGGCGGTATCTAAGCAAATGTGTGACGGTTGTTGGTTTTCACATGCAAAGAGTTTAAGGTTTATATGTAGAAACACGGTCTTTCACTTCGCCCCACAAAAAAAGTCCAAAGCTGTCAAATTGCATGATGTTGTTGTTGTTGTATCGGGTCAATAGCCCCACTTTGTTAAGGTTAGTTAGTTTGAGTCACCGAGCTCATCTAACGAGGTCATCTAAGGAAGGGTGCTGTTTCGTTGTGTTTGGACCAAAAGGAGAGTGGAGTTAGATGCGTCGGTTTTAGATGGTATGTAAAGAGGTGGTTAGTGTCATGCGAGGACTCATTACACGCAGTACGTACGTTCGGTATGTCCTGGTCGAGTCTAAGCAAGTAGAATTTCTCAACCTGCTACAATATCCAGGCCTAAGTTGCGCCAGTATTACGCGGGTCACTCGAGACAGCTCATGTTCTTCGTCTGGTATGGGTGGTGGCTGAACTTTGTGTACACCATTCACAGAAAGGGGGTCTTTGAAGATGTTAACTGACTCCTGGTGAATAGCGTTGAGTGCCTCTCGGTACGCCGTCCTGTCCAGCGGTTGTTGCATGTATTGCTGCATTGTGTCCTTTAAATCTTTTACTTCCATTGTAATAAGTTTAGCCTCCATTAGATGTATGTTGGGATGCTAAAGGGAATTGCTTGCTTGCTATGCTCATTAACTGATAGCATAGATGCATCAAAGTACAAGTGATGCCCAGGCGATATCAGAAGGTTTCCAGGCGTGATCCTAAGGGCGGTGTTTTGGCAATCCTGTAGCTTCTTCAACTGCGTCTCGTTCGTCCCTGTGCCCAGACTGATGACCAGCCGGTCAATTGCTTTGTAGCTTGCCTGCAATGCTGTCGAAAGTCACTCTCTATGCAGAAGAGACGATCTTTGATCAACAGAGGCCGAAATGTGTTTCATCAGGATAACGCCAGGCTACACGTCTATGGTGAAGTGCCAGAAGCTCCAGGAGCTCGGATGATAGGTCTTAATACACCCACCTTATAGTCCAGACCTGGCACCAAATGATTACCATCTTTTTCTGTCCATGGCGAACGTGCTTAATGGTGAGAAGTTGGCCTCAAAAGGGGCCTGTGAAAATTGATTCTCCGAGTTTTTTGCCAATAAGGACACAAGTACACAAAGTTATCATATTTTGAAAAATCATAAAAAAACCGAACGAACCTTTTACTCGAGCTAATATTGTAATTTGATTTAATAATTTTTTTGAATATTATTTAAAATTATAAATTTGTGTTTCTTTTCATATATTATAATAATGTATCTTATTTAATTTATCTTATTTTACATTTTTTTTATTTTTTAATTATTATTATATATAATTTATTTTTATATAAATTATTTTATTTTATGAGCATTTAATTCACTTTAAATTTTTTCATAAATACAAAAAATGCAAAGCCTATTTTGTTGATTTCCATCAATTATATTATATTTTATGTTTTCTTATTTAACTTATTTTATTTTTTTATTTTGTTTTGATCTTATTTCTTATATATTTTTATTCCATTTCGTATTATTATATTTTATACGTATTTGTTTGATTCTTATTTTATAAAGTTTTTTTTTAATTGTTTTATTTTATTCTAGTTTATTTAATACAATTGAATCTTATTTTATATAAATATTATTTTATTTCATTTTTTTAATTTTATTTCATTTTATTTTATTTCATTTTATATTATTTCATTTTATTTTATTTTATTTTATTTTATTTTATTTTATTTTATTTTATTTTATTTTATTTTATTTTATTTTATTTTATTTTATTTTATTTTATTTTATTTTATTTTATTTTATTTCATTTTATTTTATTTTATTTTATTGTATTGTATTTTAATTTATTATATTTTATTTGATTTTTTTTTTTCTAGTTTGTTTTATTTTAGTTTAGTTTAGTTTATTTATTTTAAGTGAATTTTCTTTTATTTGACTTAATTTTATTTAATATTATTATATTTTATTTATTTTGTAATAAATTAGCCTATTTAATTTTACATTAGCGTATTTTATTTTTTTTGTTATGTTTTATTCTTCCTTTTATTTTAATATATTTTCATTTTTTTCTTGTATTATTTCTCTTTTAATTTTATATAAATTTATGTTTTTTTGTAAGTTTTAAACTTTTCAAAAGTATTTTAATTTTTTAATTAAAAAATGTGTGCCGAGAATTGAACTGAGCAAGCACATAAGTTTCTTGCACATATGTGAGCATACTCAAATTTCAATTAAATGGCTAATAGCATAGCGAAAAAACAACAATTAAAAATTTAATAATAGACAGTGAAAAATGTAATTGTGAAAAATTTACGACGGGGATCGTTAATTTACGCGCTCTAGAGGGGAAAAAATAACGCAATATTATTTATCTCTCCGTATGTACGTACGTATGTACAATTGCTATTTACAAACGTTTTTTAAAACGAGCTAATTGTTTGTTGTAAGTAAATAAGATATTTGATTAATAAACTTTACGTTTATCGGAATGCCACTGAGGGTGGTTTATGTACGTATATAATTCAGTAACACTTTTGCACTTTTGACTCAAGATGAGATTTTATTTCTCTCATTTTTAATGTAATTAAAGGCAGCTGCTATCATTGCGGACATAAAATGTAGCAATAAACAATGACAACAGTGAAGAAATATATCAAATATGAAAAAGATAAAATCTTATGTGCGCTTCACATAACTCAAAAAGTTTCCGACTGACCGACCGACTGAAATTTGTACGCAACAAAACTGCCTGTCATTTCTCCATTAGCACTCAGCTTTATGGCCACATATAGAAACTATCCACCGGCCGATGTATTCTCACGCCACTTACCGGAAATGGGTAACAGAATACCAATTAATCGGACTTGAGGACGGATTACTTTACCTGATAACCTCTGTAATTCAATGTCGTCAAAAAAATATTTATTAAAGAAGTGTTCCCAAACATAAAAATTATTCATGGGGATCATGGGTAACCGATTGAACAAACTATACTTGCTGCAAAATACTAAGATTTCCCAACTAAACTATTCAGTTCAACATTCAAAGTGAATGCTTCACATATACTCAATAGATAGTGCTGTGGGAACAGATGAGACAGTGTGCAACGATACAGGACTAGCAGGCAAAAAATTACAATAGAACGTAATAGAAGCAACGTTTCTCAGAGAACCGCTCCAAGGTGAAGACATTCTCATTCCTAGAATCCTTAACATTCCTTCGGATACTTCCTTTCAATTCAAACGACTACAGTTCCCTGTTCGAGTACAGTTCTCTGTTCGAGTACAGTTCTCTGTTCGACTAGCGCTTACAATTATTATCAACAAAGCGCTTGGTCAATCTAAGGGATTGTTTAATCTACATTCAAATACCGATTGCTTTGCAAATGGACAGTTTCAGGTTATGCCAATTTGAATAGAAAATAGGATCCAAATGAACCGTGATTTTTTTCATTAATGAAATCGAGATTTATAGTCTCTACATTATTTATATTATATTTAGTTTGCTCATACCATTGCACACTATTTTCTCTATATTGATTTTAAATATACGATTTCAGGGCATAGTTTTCTTCTGACGTCAAGTGTTATAAGACAGTGGATGCTTTAAGCGGTTCAACCAATGTGACAGCCCATAAAACTATTTCGGTGGATGTTTTTAAAGAAAACTTCTACATTGAACGTTACAAATAAAAAAAATGGCATCGTCTTGAGAAAAAATAACTATTTTCATTTGTTATTTTTCATGCCAAATTTACAATTTTACTCCGATCGAAAAAGTCGAGGGTCACTTTATGCCAAAAATAATGCTAAATAAAATGACAAATTTTCAAGCCGATCGGATTATTAGTTTTTGATTTACAAAGACCGTAAATTACGAAAACCTTTTCGATAGAGACGTGTTTGAAAAAAAAAAACTTACATTGAAACTTACAAGACTGATCTCACTCCGATCCGTTTACAGTTATACCTGGGGTCGAAGTATGTTATTTTTTCCAAAAATATAAGTTATCGAAGAATGTCGAAAAAGAAGAATAAACCTTGAGAGTGCGCTTGATAAATTTTTGACTCTCTCTCTTTCCATCATTTTTACGCTTATAAAGCTCGGTAAGCGTCTACCAAGCGAAGTAGTAGACCGTTAGAGAGTATCTCATGATCTCATTATTAATAGCACTTACTTGCACTCTCTTTCTCTCACTCGAATTTGAACACTTATGCATATAAGAAATTTATATATATATATGAAATATATTTGAAAAATATTTGAAAAACATTTGTTATAATTTTCCCTCGGTGAAGCGATTCTTGGCACAAATTCTTATTAGTCAAACAAATTTGAATTAAAAATATTTCGAATTAAAAATGTGTAACGATTTTTTTTTGTATCTACGTACATTTCGAGGTACTGCATCTTTTCTCATATTTCTTATATATGTATTGTGTATGTATGCAAGTGGTGGACTAATTTTTCTTAAAATTTTTTAATTCATTAGAAAATAAATAAATATTAAAATATTTTCATACAAATTTTTCAAACCAATAAATTGTAATTGTTTAAATGAAAAATATATAAATAGAGCTCTGCCTCAACTGTCCTTAGCTCGTACTAAAAAAACAATCTATCGCATGCCGAAATAAAACAGGAATTTGCTGCTTGTTTGATTTCAAAATAAAATTCTCAAAAATATTTGCAGAAATGAGTTTTCCGCATTCCATAGATTTAAATAAATAAATAGTTCTATTCTATCATGAATTTGCTAATATTTGTTG